TCGCTGGCGGCAACACTGTCCACGTCCCAGCATATCATCATCGGTCGCTGGCAGCAACACTGTCCACGTCCCAGCATATCATCATCGGTCGCTGGCGGCAACACTGTCCACGTCCCAGCATATCATCATCTGTAGCTGGCGGCAKCACTGTCCACGTCCCAGCATATCATCATCATCTGTAACTGGCGGCAACACTGTCCACGTCCCAGCATATAATCATCATTTGTAGCTGGCGACAACATTGTCCACGTCCCAACATATAATCATCATCTGTAGCTGGCGGCAACACTGTCCACGTCCCTGCATATAATCATCAAATGTAGCTGGCGATAACATTGTCCACGTCCCAGCATATAATCATCATCTGTAGCTGGCGGCAACATTGTCCACGTCCCAGCATATAACCATCATCTGTAGCTAGCGGCAACACTGTCCATGTCCCAGCATATAATCATCATCTGTAGCTGGCGGCAACACTGTCAACGTCCCAGCATATAATCATCATCTGTAGCTGGCGGCAACACTGTCCACGTCCCAACATATAATCATCATCTGTAGCTGGCGGAAACACTGTCCACGTCCCAGCATATAATCATCATTTGTAGTTGGCGGCAACAATGTCCATGTTCCAGCATATAATCATCTGAAGCTGGCGACACACTGTCCACGTCCTAGCATATAATCATCTGAAGCTGGCGGCACACTGTTCACGTCCCAGCATATAAACGATCACGCAATTGGCGGCACTCTCACCACGTCCCAACCGATGCTGAGGGCACACTGACCACGACCGAGCATGTCGAGGTTGATGCTAGACGGCTCACGGGCCTCGCCTCATCGTTCTGCCCGAACTCGAAATCAAATATGCATCTCTGAGTATGAATTTTCGGAGCCAGGAGCCGGATACTATACCATGGGATTTCGTTTCATCCATCTCTGCTAACTCATAGGCCTTGCCTTCAACCTCACTGATGACTTGAAAGGTCCCATCCGCTTGGCCTCCAATCTCTTGGTCCACTGTGTCTCGAGAGATGTATCATGCAGAAGTACAATATCCCCGACCTGAAGTCGTTCCTTCCTGATGTACCTCTTGTTGTTCCATCGTGTTTGATCAGATAATCTGTTGTCTGACATCCTCTTTGTGGCCTCAATTATGGCTTCATCCACTTCTTTTATCTGCCTGATCCTCAGCCTCAGCAACTCCTCTGTGGAGTATGACTCTCTTTGCGCCTCATGGGTCCAGGTCTCAACCAGGTTCTCAATGGGTGAAGTAGCATACCTACCATACCAGAGTGTAATGGGTGCATAACCTGTAGTCCGTGTGACAGTCACATTGTCAGCATAGACAACCGCTCTTAAGAAAGATGGTCAGTTTCTGGAATCACCTTGGCACCATTTTGATATAGCATCTTTTAGTGTCCTGTGACCTCTTTCCACTGGTGCATTAGCCTGAGGATGATATGGTGTCACAAACCTGATCCTGACTCCAAGTCTGAACATGAGCCTCCTGACCATCTCGTTCTTGAACTCTGATCCCTGATCAGCCACAAACTCACATATGAAGGGGTACCTTAGGTAGATTTCCTCGATCCAATCTACCACTGCCTTTGCGGTTTTCTTATGGATGGTTTTTGCTCCAACATAACCAGACATATTATCTCTCATATTTAGTACATATTTCATTTCATCCTTACCAGGTGGCATAGTAATTAGATCAAGGTGAACAGTACTGCCAGGTTCAACAAGAACAGTGGGGTATAAGGGTTTAATCAGTCTCATAGATGACCTTTTCTGACAGGCTTCACATGACTTACAATATCTCATAACCATATCCCTCAGGCCATCCCAGTGATATAGTCGGGATACTTTATAGTATCTAGCATCAGCACCCCTATGACCCCCTGCTAGACCCTCATGCAACGCGGCGATCACCTCTAGTTGCCTTTCCTTACCACACACCACTCTCAACGGCGGTAATCCTTCCTTAGCATCCACAAAATGGTGACCCCTACGTAGTCTAAAGGTCCTTTTTGTCCTCTCATGGTAAAATTCGTCCAACTGATTACTGATCATCACCATACCAATCCTCTTATATTCCCCATCATACTCGTCCTTCGTAAATTAAGGGTGCGACTCTCAAATCTAAGTGGCCTTTCTTTACCATTCTCATCTTGTTGCATGAGTACTCCTCCTAATGCTATCGGGCCGCCGTCGGCTTCAATGATGAAGGGTCTCCCCCTTTCATCGTCGAAGTAGGGTACTCCCAATACGACCCCGCCATCTCTTAACTTATCTTGAAGTGTCCGCGCAGCCTTCTCTCTCTGGTCAGACCACCCTAAGCTAGCTCCTTGTCGCACCATCTCTCTGAGGGGCTCGACTATCCTGGCAAACCCGAGGATGAAGATCCGCCAGAAGCTGCAGACCCAAAGGAAGCTCCTTACTTCCCCAACCGTTCTTAGAGGCATAGGCCAGTTCAGGATTTTATCTCATTTCTTCGGATCAGGGCTCCTTCCTTCCAAGAAGCACCTAAAACCCAAGATCGTCATGTCCCTTTGGAACAGTAATGATTTCGGTCCGCTGGCTGTTAGGTTGTACTTAGCCAACTTTCTAGTACTTTTGCTACTCCCTGCGCATGTTCCCATACGAACCGCCTGACTCGACCATCCACTAAAGTCTCATCCTTTTCCTTTGGTCCTTTAACTGGATTGTCATCAATGTATGGAAACGTAACCTCTGGACATATATCCTCCATGACCTTCAGCATGTCCCGCTGGACGACGGCGACCGCATTTGTCCACCCTTGAGGCACCACACACATTTGTATGAGGCCTCTAGGTGTATGCATGGCGGTCATAGGTCGACTAGTGGGATCTATGGGGAATTGGTCATAGCCAGAGTACAAGTCTATTAGGGAGTAAATGCTCCTTCCGGCAAAAGACTCGGCCAATAGATCCGTGTTGGGTAAGCTACCCGCATCGCGAACCGTTACCGAATTCAACTTTTGCAAGTTCTATATCCAGCGCAGACCTCCACCTGGCTTCCATAAACAAAACCAGTGATTGGCGTAAGCTCCATCAACTGGTTCCGCAACGTTGGAGGCGATCTTCTGGTTTATGTACTCCATTACCTTTTTTTCTTCCTTCTGAGCATATTTTGTAGGTCTGTCATTCCAAGGCGTGTGAGGAACGGTCCAGATCTTGACCATCTTGATCATGTCAACGTCTAGTCGTCCTCTTTCCTCATCATTAAAGGAAAAGGCACCACTGTACTTCTGACATAATTCATATATGAAATCCTTCTCAGCCGGTAGAAGGAAGTCATCGGCTCCTACCTTCATTATCTTGAACCTCTCTGGGGTAATTCTTCCCCCTTTTAATGCAGCCTCTCTTAATCTTTTAATTATCTTTCTTTCCTTCTCCAATGCCTCATTGTAATCTTTCTCTATCAGGACGGCCACCGGATTCTTCTTAACACCCTTACGCTTATACTTCATCTTAAATCCGATGACTATTTTCTTGAAAAAGGCCTAGTTGCAGAGAAGGTGAGTTGCATTGTCCCCGCTTTTGCTGCCCTCACAGCATCCTTGAATCCTTTCATCTCTCTCTTGTCGCCCAACTCCTTTTCTTTATCCAGGAGCTTAAGCATCTTACCGATATCATTCACTCTAATCGTTGTCTTTTCATCTATTATTCCACTTTCTTTCAGCTTTGCTCGTACTTCCTCAATCAACTTGTCAGACTCTCCATGCTTAAGAGAATTAACATGTCGCTAATGACGAGGATGATGTCTATCACTTATCACAAAGGCCTGTTCTTGACCAGTGACAGGATCCTGAAGAGAGAGTCAGGTCACTCTATCATGGCCAAAGAACGCACAAACCTTCATTCTATGTAGGAAAGGGGCTCCGAGAATGCAGTCATGATCCAAGTTGGGGACCACAGAACTAAGGATCTCGGCCCGTAAAGTCTCAATCCGAATAGGCAAATCATCAACAAAACCTTCCAAAGGTAGGAATTCGGCTATATTGGAAAGCTGATGATTGACCTTTCTGTCTATCCCGAGCCCACATGACCTCATTGTGGCCGAGGATATGAGCACCATTTCGGCCCCGGAGTCCACTAGAGCTCTGACTTTCACGTCGTTTACGGAGATATTCAAATAACCGCACGACATGTTGCCAAACCTCATTTTGGTACCAGGCGGGGCTCTTTCCACATGCTGAGGGAAGAGTCTTAGGCTATTGATTTCTACCTTCCACCTCTCAACCATCTTCTTAAGCTCTTCCCTAAACTTGGGTACCAAGGCTACTGCCTCTTTCCAGGATAGGGTGATCTCGGACTCCTCGAGTAATTTTCTTACTACTTCATCTATCGAGATCCCTTCCTCGGCCTCGGATCTCAATACCACCTTCCTCTTCTTCTCGATAGCTTCCTTTCCTTTCCCTTCCTTCACTAGGTCCTTGGTCCCATCGATTAGTTGGTCTTTGAGCCTTCTCCCGGTTTTTCTCTTCAACCTCCTTTTGGCTGACATGGGATACATTCAGGTTTTGACTTCCAGGATTGTCGTCTCGAGCCACTATCTCCGGAGGTAGCATACCATCAAAGGTGATAACATTAACCCTAGCCTTCTTCTTTTTATCCTTATTGGCCTTAGCCTTTTCTAGGATTACCGCTCGCATCCCTCCCTTCACTCGGAAGTCCACCTTGTTCCAATTGGCATCACAGATGTGTCCATTGACATTCTTCTTGACAATCCCTTCTTCGAGTTCTCTCTCTAACGTTGGGCACTGGGTTAGAGTATGACCTTCCTCGTCACAATAATAACATCGGAAGGGGCCATCTCTCCTTTGTCAATCGCGGCTCTTATTATCTTTCTTCCAATCCCGATCGCGCTCTTCTTTTGTCTCTCTTTTTTCCTTCCCCTAGCATCATCATCATCACTACTTTCGCTCTCACTTTCACTCTCTCCCTTTTGGTTCTCCTTCTTTCTTTCTTCCTTACCTTCTTCGGCTCCGACTAGAGCTTGAGTTGCTGGGGCAGGAAGGGTTAACTTCTCGAAGCTACCAAGCTTAACGAGAAGACCAAGGATCTCCTCGGCCTTCAAGTTTCCTCCCGCAGTTGCCTCAACATTTCCCTCTCTTGCACTAGTGATTGCTTTCATCTGTTCCAGAGACCATTTTCGGTTTGACACCGAAGGTAGCTCTCAGACCATCTCAACTACTTCATCCCACTTCAGAGGGTAATGGGCAGCGCGGCTTACCACACTCTTTCTTTCATCCTCTGCAAAATTAGTCAGCATGACATGACACTTATGGGCCTCATCTAGGAAGGGTACTCTCCGCACAACCCGCTCAAAATCTTCTAGAAATTGGTCTAGACTACGTACTTGAAACGTCGTACATCCAACAAATTTTGCATAGTTGTTGGAACATCATACTTCGCATACTCCTCTACCATCTTTTGTCTAACGTCCGCCCATGTCGTTAGCCCTTGTGTCGTTTTTGTCACTGACACCCTCATCTTAGGCTCAACATAGGCTAGCAAAGCTTTCAACTTTTGTTTGTCCAACCAACCGTGGCTCATACCGAAGACATCATAATCCTCCAAGAACTCCCTAACATTGGTTCCATCAAAGCAGGGTATGTTCTCCGGAGGTACCTTGGCTCTCGGAAGATCTAACCGGACATTCATAGTGTTCATCCCGGTCTTCATGGCCTCCATCCTGTTCAACATTTCTTGTAGAACAGCGGTAGTGGTCACTTCTCCGTCCCCAGCGGAGGAAACTAGCACCATTCTGTCGTGCGTTCGATCCTCTGACTATCTTGCCTGGCTTACTGGTTAAGCTCCTGTTTCTTCCTAAACCTTTTCTCTCTTAGGATTGCGTTTAAAATTGGTTCCCAGTTTTTGTCGTCAGTAAAGCTTTCTAGTAGACGACGTTCGGGAAACCTATCGAACACAATCGGTATTAAGCCACTAACTACTCTTGCCCCTTTTCTTTCTAACTCTTTTTTTTCTTGATCAACTATATTACTAATACAACTTCGAAAAGAATCGCGATCTGTCCCTCTCTCTCTCAATGAGCGAATATAGGGCCGGATATCGTATACACCATGTCAAGGAACTTCACTACAAGGATATACGCCTTCCCAGGTGCATGCTTCTCCTCCAGGGATATGAAGCGCTCTATTTTGTAGGGAAAAGTTCCTCCACTGGTAAAAGAAACTAGGGCGTCCAGTGCTGCCGCGACTGCCGGACAGTAACCAGACATTGCCTAATTCCTAACTTCTCTTAGTATCACTCTCAACCTTCCATATTCGTCATAGACTTTGTGCTCCCCCTCTACTCCATAAACGCCGGTGTCAATATAGAGTTCACCTTCGGCCTCGTCGATGCAAGACGCGCCTCTCCTGATTTCTACTACCTCTGTCACTGGATCTCGAACCCTTCTACAAATCAAGGTCCCTAACACGCATTGGTCCTCACGGCTCCAACCGCGAATGAGGGCTCTCACCTTCTCAGATTCTTGTTTTGTCAGCTCCTTCTCTATCCCATGTCTTACTAAGTTACCTCCAATCGGGCTTTCACGATTGCCTTTCGCCATCTCATAATTTCTCCATCTTTAGTCAACCCTGCATTCACCGAGTTTCTCTCTAAGAAGCCAACAAGTTTTCTGCTTTTGTCAAGTGATAGAAAATTCAGGAGAACCTTCGTCCTGGACTTCGAACCGACGTACAAAGGTATCGAAAAACAGCGTCTTTGGTCGCATGACTAGGTCATTCTCTCTTGCCTTACCAACCACAACAATAGCTTCTAGGAGAGGCGCCCAGTCTCTCCTGTTAGCGAAGCCATCTGTAGTCAGAAAACTAGGGAGTCTTTCAAATTGCCTGACTCGTTTCCCCCAGGTCACTTTCTCATGCAAGCTTCGAAGTAGTCCCCTTATCCTCGAGAGGTGAATGTACACTCTCCTCAGGCACTCTAAATAGCCTTCTTCCTCTTTTATTCCTTTCTGAGCATAAACCCTTACGTCAAGCTCGTCAGTCTTGAAAAATTTGACCACTGGAACATAGAATACTAAACGCCCTTCCTTACAGACGTCGTGTCGCAATATCTCGAACGGACTGTCAGTCTCAGTTACTTTATCTAACCATCCTCTACCAATGGTCACAGTCGCAATTGACATAGAGTTTTCACATTTCAGTATCATTGCCTTGGGCTGCTTCTAGCACCTCTAGCCAGACTGTCCGCAGGACGCTGTCTAGATAGGATGGTCTCATCTCTCGCATGTAGCATCACTCTCCTGCCATCCGAACTCTTGCAATCCAGCAGATGCCTAATCTTAGTCTGATCCGTAATTGCTCTAGAAGCAGTCGCCCGCATAAGCTCAAGGTAGTGTTCTACCATGCCAATCTCGTCATGCCTACCTAGTCTAGTGTCGCATCCTCTCACGGCCACGATGACAGTCGCTCGTTGCTCATCTAGATAGATCTCGAAGCAGAATCTTTCTCCGTCATCAGGAGTGTAGACATCTCTTGGCATGGCTCACCACACTCGGTCCCTAAGTACCGCGTTGAGGATTGGTCTCCAGTCCTTTCCGTCGCAGAAGCTAGCGGGCACAGGCGGACTTGGGAATCTCTCAAACTCTCTACGCAGGACACTCCAAGTCACTTTCTTCCCTCGTTGTCTCAGCAACAACCTTTTATCCATGACATACTCAGCAGCAGCTATCCAACATGCCTCGTAATCGATCCCTCTCCTTGTCTCAGCAGATACATATAGCCTCACATCATAGTCATCCGTATCAAGAAACCGAGCTACAAGGACGTATAAGATCACAGAGTCGTGCTCACAAGTCACACACCTCTCAATGACGTATGGGAAGGCACCCCCAGGCGTGATCCTCGTCAGCGCCTCTATCACTTTCGTTACTGCTGACATTGACTACTTACCAGGTTTGCCTCCTCAGTGTTGCATTGATGATTGGCTGCCAGTTCCTACCATCACAGAATCCTTTGGGTACTGGCGGGGCAGAMACCTTCTCATAGATCCTAGGCAGTAAGCTCCAACTCGCCTCTATCCCTTGTTGTCTCAATTGATCCCTCTCTACTTCGACACACCTCACTATGACATCCCAGTTGGTAAAGAAACTAGGGTCCTGATCAGCCCCTTCTAGGATGTAAGGTCGAAAATCATAATCATCAGTGTCGAGGAATCTAGAGACAAGCACATGCACAATCGTCGTACTTTTTACACAAGTAATGCATTTGACAAACATATAAGGGAAGGCACCACCGCAGGAGACACGAGTTGGGGCTTCTAGGACATTATACTCTTCCGTCATCATCTGGTTTCTGACTTATGGTCTTCCCAAGTGAAGGGTCCAAAAAACAAATTCCAAACCCTTGCTTGCAGGTCTGAATCACTTTAGATAGACTTCTGCAAGAGGCTCCTCCTCTCGGGGCTCCTCTAGCCGAAAGTCTTTCTGACTTGAGCCAAATCTTGTACGAAATATGCTAGACCGCTGCCTAGTCACAGAATATTATGACCAAGGTCCGCTCCCAGGAACTCAAGATTTTTGAGTCCCCGGCAACGGCGCCATTTTTGTCGCGCCCCCACTGCTTCAAGGAGGAAAACAACATACATACATCATAGAGCAATCGACACTGACAGAACGAGAAGACCAAAAACCAGACTCTGCAAGAGCATGACGAGACTGAAGAGTAGTACACATTGTATGCAGGGAGCAGCCATCGGAGGGATGCAGTCATTAATAGATCATAATAATGTCGTAATACATCATAGTGACTAAAAAAAAGAGAGGACCTCAATCAATAATGACAAGTGGTACCCCCTTGTGAGTAAGTGCCGCTGTCTGGGACTCCATGTCTGGTACCCGCTGGTCTCCCTCGTCATTGAGAACCCGTGTGGCTATCGACTCTGGAACCACATAGCTGATATAAAGAGGCGCTGCTGGATCAATCTTGCAAATATAGGCCATGCATCTCGCCATCTCCTCGTTTGCAACGCTCCTGAGATAAAGATCCTCTGCGAGGGTGATGTCGCTCGTAGCTCCAATCAGTATCTCAATCCGTCCTCTCCTCTCCGCATAGACGTAAGAAACCTCGAGGAAACGATCTCCGTAAAGAGGCTTCCGAAAAGCCAACAGAGCAAAGTCAACCCCGACCAAATGACTATAGCCATCCCCAAGATATGGGACTGGACCTTCCCCTCTTGGGGGACCAACAATCGCCTCGGTCCTAGGGTCGTCTGACATGTAGAAGTCAATCACCCTCGAGCAGATACCGTGCAAGAAGATACTCAATCCTCCTCAATCTCGCTCTCCGCCGTCGCCGCTCACTGGTCTCCAGCGCTCCTGCTATTGTCCACAGGCTTAGTCTCTGTGAGTGTCTCAGTCGAAGTAGTCGCCAAGGTCAATGTCACTCATGCAACAGGGCTCCTGGTCGAACTCATCCGTCTCGGATCTCTGTACGCATGTAGTGATTGGGACCCTGGATCTGGCTATCTCCCTCCTAGTCCGGTTGTCCTTCCGCCTCTTCTCCTTGTTGCGAGACTCACTGAGGGGCTTGGAGTTACACCCATCAAAGTCGAAGAGTACACCCCCAGGTGCTGAAGATACGCGAGAAAACACCACATGTAGCCAATTATCCCTCCAATAGCTCTCCCTGCGAAATATGTAGTCATCAATCCTGTCATACGTGGTGCCCTTCACCCCATTCTCTGCCCCTTTTACCGAGTAGGTAATCACCAGTGTGTGTCTGGAAGTTGGGAGCTCATTGGCCCTGATAACAAAGCTCTGATGTCCCACATGTCTGTAGCAGAACCTCTCAACCAATCTACCCCACGTAGGGGCAGCCCCACGATGACGGGCCAACTTGAACAGAAGGCGCACTCTCACTAGTGTTGATGCTCCCTCCAAGACCTGGTCGGATGGTAGTCAGCAACTCAATGTAAGTGCCTGCCCGAGTGGGCTTGGCTGAAAAAACAACCTCAAAGAATGGGCCCGGCTGAAGGGGCCCGGCTAAAACAGCAACGATCTCGAGAAATGGGCCCCGCCTGAAGGGGCCTGGATGAACTGCTGCAATCTCAGGGAATGGGCCCGCCTGAAGGGCCCCGACTGATCAACAACAATCTCAAGTAGGCCCGCCTGACGGGGCCCGGCTGAACAACAACAATCTCAAGTAGGCCCGCCTGAAGGGGCCCGACTGAACAACAACATTCTCAAGTAGGCGCGCCTGAAGAGGCCCGGCTGAACAACAATCTCAAGTAGGCCCGCATGAAGGGGCACGGCTGAACAGCAACTGATCAGCAAAACATCTCATGCACAGGGAGTACTGGGGCTGAACTGAGCCAAGTCGTCTGTGCAGGGGCATAACTGCAAATGCTCCCCGTGTGGGAAGGTATCATGTGCATGGGGTGGTGCTGATCAACAAGGAAATTAATGGACGGGTGCATGAAGGCAAATCATCCCATCTAGATCATCATAGTACTCGCTCAGACATCATCATAGCAATCCTAAGCTTGGGCGCGCGTGGGCGCGCACTCAAATGACAATATCCAGCCTGGGCACGCATAGGTGCGCACTCTAATAACAGTTCCAGGCTTGGGCGCACACAGGCGCGCACTTAAATAGCAATATCCAGCGCAAGCACACGTGGGCGCATAGTCAAATAACAATATCCAGTCTGGGCGCGCATGGGTGCATACTCAAACTGCAACGTTTAAGCTTGGGCGCGCATGGGCGCGCACTCTAACAGCAATGCCAAGCTTGGGCGCGCATGGGCGCGCACTCTAACAACAATGCCAAGCTTGGGCGCGCATCGGCGCGCACTCTAACAGCAACGCCAAGC